TAACTTATCGAATCGGCTGAATAACTATTCGGTTAGTTTTTCATAAGGTGTCCCAGGAATAATGATAACAGCTGTAAAATACATATAATTTACAAAGTGATAAATAATTCCAATCACTATTCTGGTCACTAAATTCAAAAAAAAAAACTTCAATAATTAATTTTTATATGATATAGTTTATATCTTATATCAAGAGTTTACTAAAAGTTTATTAATAATGATTTTGTTCTAAACAAATTCTTCACTATAAACCAATCTTCATTATAACGAGAGTAACTTGTAGAACCAAAAACAATAGTAAATTTCTCCACCGTTTACCATGTTTTTTCACTGTTTCCCATGCGGATCACGAATTAATGTTTAATGAGTTTGGGTTTATTAGTAATAAATATAACATATACCCACTTTACGCGTGTCTATCTATTCTTTAGATATATAAATTCTTTAGCGTGTATTTATCGGTCTTTATATATGATATGAAGTTTTTTTCGGTTTTCCAGTACTGTAGTAGTATACGATAAATTTTAAAAATTGGCGCGGATGATCGTGAAATTCGGATGATCGTAATTACCCTAATAACCATAACCAATCAAATGCATATTAATTTCACGATCATCCATCATCCGCGACAAAAATTATATATTTGGATTGGTTAATTATCACGGGAAATCACAAAAAAATGGCATTTTAATATTTTCGACATACCGATCGGCATACTTCGACATTTACTGTCAAAATTCATTTTCACCATTTAAATTTACGCCAAGAGCAAAATATTTTCGACACCCATGTATAACCATGGATAGCTATCCTCCTGAATTTATTCTACAGCATGTACCTTTGATGGTAGTGTTTGGTTTAGGTACAACGAAAGATCTCGTTGAACAAACCACTGTATCTTCGCCTGCCTCTTCCAAGTCAACGCATTCACGGCAAAGTTCTTTAAGTACCAACTCGACTTTTGCTTCAACAAGACAGCAAACAGCAAAGAATTTGCTTACTCAACTAACAGCAAGAAGTCAGGCTGGAGTTTGGGAGTTTGGGAAGAGCACTGGTACCATGTTTCACGTAGTAGCAGTAGACAAGGTATGTATGATTTTAAATACCCCCCATTTTTTTTCAATTCTTATCAGTAGATTTAGGTTTTGTAAGATATTTGCTATTGCGGATCGATTGTGCTAACATTGCATAGATAATTAAGAGTTATATGAATCATTTTCGAGTTCATAAACATGTCATAAATTTATAAATCCGGGATCGATTGTGTAAATAATAAAATTTTTAACAATATAGAATTATCAATATCCTCCTCGGAAACCTATGATGCGATCCCCACAACCTTCGCATCATTCAACCATGACTATTCCGCATTCACCTCTTTCACCTCTTACACCGGGTTCGCCTGTCTTTCCTGATGGTTTAATTCCTCCAGCATGGGTTCGCAAACATCGCGAAATGTTACCAAGTGTCGTTGTTGGATTTTATGATTTGTGGCATCGATCTATGGGTGGGTCATTAAAAGAAAAAGATGAATCTTTAACATCTTCAGAACTATTGGGGTCGATAGAACCCATCGAAAAAGAGAAAGATGGAAATTTGGCCTTGGAGATCAATGAAAAGAGGTGGGCTTGGCTTATATTAACCAATATAAATAGGAAAAGCCAGTTGGTATTGAACCACTTCTTAACATAAATCCATATTAATAGGAAATCTCTCCATGAAAGAGGCATTAGATTTGCTGCTGTAATATTACTCAAGGCGCAACATTCAGGTGTGCCATCATCTGTTATGATTCTTTTTATAGTATCGTCGGTATAATTCATATAGTCATATGTTTCTATGTTAGAGGATCCATTAACCGAAGAAAGATTATTATATATCCGAAAGGCAAGTGGTCTAGACGCAAGAAATTGCTTTTTTTCTCTTCCACCGGATAGAGATATTGCAGATTTTGTGACAACGTACGTCCAGGTCAGATTTTATTATTTTTGAAAATTAATTCAAATTTATTTTTTCAACAAAGTATTAACGAGCTTGTAAATTTGATAAGCTTGCAAAAAGGGCTCTACGAACATAGTTTGAATTATTATCGTGAGCACGGTAAACGTGTTAAAAGAAAACGAACTAGATTACCTTCTCCTGCTACTGCTGGTTACATTCGTCCGTCCTCTGATTATCATTCATCAGCACCTGCTCCTTTAAGTATTCAAGGATGGATGTTTCGTTACGATTACAAAATGGCCACCTTTGCCGAATTTCGGCAAGAAATAGATGCATCCATACAGTAAGCTCTCAGTCTGTATAATTGTATACTTTTACTTATATTATTAAAATTTTGCGCTTATAGTTTTTCTTGTATAGTTATTATGAGTCAGCTTACACCCTTCTTGTAGACTTTTTTGCACCACAGTCAGCAATCACGCCCGGAGCTCCTGGTTTACCAGTACGTAGTAAACGATGGGTTGAAGCCAGGATTTTGGCTGATTGCATAAATTTAAAGGTATGTTTGTATTGTTTTGAAAACAATCGTATCTCTATATTTATATTTATAATTAACACCATGATAGATTTGCAAGTTGAACCTATACATTGATGCTCCCTCCGCTGCGTTGGCTCAGTTAAACAAACACATTGCAACTTTTAAGCGATTGTGCAATACTTTGGAAATTGGTGACGATACGTTTGAATATTGGTCGTGGTTATCAAAGCAGTATCGAGTTTTTGGTGATGTGTTGGAAATAGCTACCAGATCTGGCTTTATAATACCCGATCCAACTACAATATTTCATACTACGTCATCAGCAGACTATCGATTTGGTGGTGCATCAAATAGTCCTATGGCAGGTGCTGGTGTTAATCCGACAATGGTTCTTCAGCACCCCGGGTTTTATTATCATTTGGCTGCGCAATGTAATTCTGTGAGGAGAAAAAAATTCTTGGCTGTTGAAAAGGTTAGTACGAAGATATTATTCGAAAAAAAAGTATTATATGTTAATTTGCAACCTTGAAATATCGAAATTTAAATGAACTATTTATTTTATAGATTATACAAGCAAGCGGTGATGCTTTGAAGTTTCCATCATCCGTCATTGAAGCAGAAAGAAATATTGATCATTCAACACTGACAATAGAATTACTTACAAAGAGTTACGAACAATTCAAAAAACAGAAGGCAGGACGTATGACACTCTACTTGGCTTCTGAAATTGCTGGAACCTATTTTGAAGCAGGAAAATACGATATGGCATTAAAGTTAGTAGTATATTTTTATATTACATTTCGTGTTTTTGGATCGATTAACTAATGAGACATTTTGATTCAGATTTTTTGAGCGCATAGCAAAAACGTACCGCAAAGAAGATTGGCACACAATTCTTGAATCAATTTTGAATTGGTCTTTGAAATGCGCAAAGGAATCTGGCACATTGGACAATGTTGTTGAATATTTAATTGAACTTTTGTCTGACAGTAAGTTTGGTTGAACGAAAATTTTGATTTTGCTAATCTTGAATATCGTATTAATTATATGTATTAATATATAGAATTTTATATGAGCGAACAAAAAAGGATAGAAATTCAAACCAGATTGATGAGCGTAATATTTAAGGTAAATTATCTTTTATGATTCTTAATATTATATTTATTTATTTTATTTTATTTATTTATTTTTTGTGATCTGATATTTCTTTTTCCTATAATTGAAATTTGATTTAAACAGACTGAAATTTCAAGCTTTCGGCAAGTTATATTAGACATGAATGAGATAAATTCATTTGGTAACCTTCTTTTGTCTTTTTTTTTTTTTTTTTTTTTTTTTTTTTATACCTTAACCATTATTATCTTTGAATATAGTAAACTGTTATGCACAATTTAAAGAGCCCTCAACATTTGTTGCAACTCCTACGCCATTCCAAATTACTTTCATAACACCATTAGACACACCACCATTACCTTTACAGTTTACATATTTACGATTAACGTTTAACGACGCAAATTTTAACCATTACTTTACCCATAACTCTAACGATGAATCCAATGATACAAAATTACAATGGGTAAATTGTAAGGAATGTCTACGAGAAGAAGTAAGCGGTGAAGGCTATGTATGGGTCAAGAATGTCGATTTGACTTTTCGTAAAGGTTCAACAAAGATTTTTGAAGGCCTTCTTGTTCCAAAAGAGAGTGGTGATCTCCAAGTAATGAATATTGTTTTTCAATCTTGTAATCCAAATAAGAGACGTCGTTGATATTTCTCGCGTGTTCATGTACCTAGCTTCAAATTGTGACATTGGGGTTGTTATCAGAAAATTGGAAAATCGAGCTCCGATTTGATATAAATGCGTCACGAGAAGAATCCATGAAGCGCAAATGGTTGCAATTTGGAGAAAATTCTGATGGTGAACAAGGTTTGTCAGCGATATAACTGCAGTAGAACTACAATCTTATCTAAATGGCGCAAAATTAAATTATCTATCTGGGTTATACGTATGTCTTTAGTAGAAAATCCATTTTTCATGAATATCGAAGGATCTGGTGACCGTGCTACAATAAAGTATGTTTATAATTCTTGTATGCAAATTAACGAATCTTTTAACTTATAGAATACTCTTTTTTAGGGCGACACAAAAACAAGCCAAGCTCGATATAAAGGTTAATCACTCGGCACCTGCTTTATTGGATGAACACTATCCAATACAGCTCACCATATTAAATTTAGAACCGGAAGATATCAAAGCAATATTGAAGGCTGAACTCATTTCAGATTCTCAAGGTACATACATAATAGACTACCAACTTATTTTATTATTATTCCTTTGGGGTTTTTTAATTGAATCGTTTATCAATACAGAATCCGAAGATGTTGTTTTTGATTCTAACCTGAATGTGACAAACCATTTGAAAGATATTGATCTTGGTGTGATTTCTTCAAACGAATCTTGTGTCAAAACTATATACATTATTGGAAAAAAATTCACAAATATGCGGACTCTTCGACTTACCGTGAGTGACATTATTTATTACATGTTTATCAAATTATTAAAAATTACCTTTTATTCATATATATTTATTCGAAATTTGTTGTTTGTTAGGTATTGTACTCAACTTCGTCTTTAATACCTTTAACGCCAACACCAATCCAAAATTGGATTGAAAAGAGTGAAGAATTCCGAATACCATTTATAGCACCTTTTTCTGTCGTTTTTAACATTTCTCCTCAAGGGGAAGAATTTGGTAGCATACGAGAAACTTCTTCGTTAGATCGAATTGAACGGCACTTTTTGGTTGCCAAAATCACCAGCGTTGGACCATGGGATATTTGTGTGTCTGGAATAGATTTAATTTTGGTGGGGCATAAATACGATCGTGCTTTAATTTCATATTTTAATATAATGTTTGTAATATGTTTTATAATACATTTTGTAGCTAGATCAAGCAAACGCTCAAACAAAGATTGAGATTATTTCATCTTCAGTTGAATTAGATAGTGAATCTTTAGAGCAAGGTAGGTTAATAAAATCCATGCACTTATTTTTAATGCATCAACTTATAAGCTCTTTGCAGTATGGCGCCAAGGATATATATTTAATGTCAATTACTTGTTGGAGTTGACAATTTTGAATGATGCATCTTCAAACAAAAGTGTGGACATAGGACTACTTGATATTCAATGGAAAAGGTAAAAAAAAAAAATAATAAAATACAGCCAGATCTCTATATAGTCACATTTGCTTATAATTACATAAAATTTTAAAACCAACTTATATAACACTTATAAAATTTAACCTCTATATAAGCACAAATTCTCTATAAGCACCAAATTCTTAAAACCAAGGGTGTGATTATAGAGGTTTGACTGTATTTGATATTTAAATATTTGTCGAAACGACTAAACTTTTTATTTATCTAGGAATAAACCTTTTGGAGACATTTCTGTTCCATTTACAGAAACAACAATGATGGTGCCACAGCTTCAAAGACATGAATCAGAGCTATCCGTTATTTTGGGTAACTTTAATATTCTTTATTATACAACAGTATGAAAGATATCTATTTAATTTGTATATAAATTTTGTAGATATACCGTCAAACCCTATTGTTGGGCAAATTTTTACACTTACGTTTAAGATCATTAATTGGACAACTGCGCCGGTTCGAGTTCACGTAACAGTTGAAGTCAACGATGCTTTCGTATTTTCGGGATACAAACAAACATATTTTATTGTATCACCGTTATCCCCATATTATTTCAAAGCTAATTGCTTTCCCTTAGCACCTGGAAAAGTTAAATTACCAAGAGTAAAAATGTTAAAATCTGGAGATAATGACGCGGCAGAGCAAGAAATTTCTATTACTGCACCTGGATTTAAGGAACCTGTCGAAGATGAATGGTATATGGTGTTTATTAAACCTAAAAAAGAAATAAATAAGTAATATTTAGATTAAAATATGAGCTTGAACGATTAATTTTTTATCTATGCAGTTTAACTTATTATTCTTTAAGAATAAATTAATTAGCACATGAAAAATTTATTACATGAATGATTTATAATTCTTAAATGTTATAAATCATATTACACAATCGGGTAAGAAATTGTTATTTTAATGGAATTGGATTTGAAGAGGATGAACATAAAGCATTCGTCTATTATCAAAAACCAGCAGTTATTGCCTTATTGGCGTATAAAGATGATTCAATAAATCAAAAAACTTGAAACCTATAATATTTGGTTTTTTACGGTGCAACGAAGCTTAAAACCGATATCACGTGATTATAAAGATCATACAGGACAGCTAGATATCCAATTTTAATTGATGTTTTAAAATTCTTAAAACTTATTAAATAGAAAAAACTTAAAATTGATAATTTATAATTTAAATATTTTTGAAAAAAGATTTTATTTATATTTTAACTAAGTTTCAATTTGGATGTTTTATAGAACAGGTGGGCAAACTTTGCAAACTTCGCAACTCTGATATTAAAAAAATTAATGATTACTAATCAGTAGCGAAGCTTATTTCTTATATTGCCCACCTATTCTATAGAATATCCATTTGCTTTTATTATTGTTATAATTGTCTTAGAGATCAAATATAGTATAGCAGATATTGTCAGTAAAATTTCTGAAAAAGGTACATCATGAAATTATATAATGGATATTAGCAAATTTAAAAAAGCAAAATATTGTGAAGGAATTTATGATACAAAAAAATTTTGCAAATTAGCACAAAATATTTCAAAATATTTAAAAAATAAAATTTTTGAAATATTTTTGAAATATTTCAAAATAAATTTCACAATATATAGTTAATATTCATTTCAATATAAATTAGTTTGAAATAAATTTTTGTAATAAAACATTAAAAATAGTTAATATATAAAACTGCACTAAAACAAAAAGAAAATTTTAAAGCAGACCAGTACACAACTCTCTCCACTGATTATTTATATACAAACAAACAGAAAACAAAAACAGCAAAAACTCATCAAAGGCTATAGAAAACGAACAACAAGGCCTTAAGAAAAAAGAAAGAACAACAGAAACAACAAATATTTAGCTTAGAAACATCCAAGTTAGAGTTTACGGTAAAAGAAATATACAAGAAAAACGAAAACTTTAAAGAAATTTTAAACAAAAAGTGGGTGAACTATCTAATTCTAAACGCAGTTCGTTAACAGTTATACAAGCATTAACAGAACAAACAAACTAAACATGTAAACAAGCAAGACAACAAACACATGTAGCAAAAGATTATTCTAGAAAGTTCAAGATTAACAACAATACATATGTTCCAGTAGACGTTTCTAAAAAGAACAGAATAAATAATCAAGTTGCACAAGTCTAACATAAGTGAGATAGATATTTATAATATGGGACTTTTAGGCCCTGTTATATGCCAAGCAGATTCAAGACTGAAATATATCAACTGTGTATTCTTAATTGACGATTCTCCAGTCAACTGAAGAATGATCATAGTGAAACGTAATGCGGTTCTATATATAAATTACTATAGGTGCGAAAGTAGAAATTTTCTAGTGATTGTCCAAAGAAAACTTTTTTTCGT